CAAACCATTACAGATCTGAGCGAAAATCCCTTGGGCTCTACAAAGATGAGCTCCAAATTGCGGCTTCCCCGAAACGTCGTCCCAATGATCCGACAGCTCTCTATTCTTACCTGCGACGGTTGCTGGAGTCTTCGTTGTCCGCTGCCTGCTTGCTGGCCTGCTGCTGCCTCAGCAGCTCTTGGATGCTGCTGAAGTTGGTCTTCAGGCCTTTGATGATGTATTTTACGACTCCTCTGCGGTACTTGACCCGACACTTGAGGAACCACATCGCGATGACGTGGTGTGCCAGCGACACAATGTAGTGGTTGAATTTGGCCGGGTTCGTGTACGGAAGCACGATCGCGAAGATGGACATGTACTTTTCTTCATTAAAGCACGAGTACACCTTGGGGATGCGGATCAGTGTCGAGATAAACTCCAGCACCGAGTTCCCCATCGCCACCGTCGCCGAAAGCTTGGACATGCCGAAGAGCACGTCGTGTATGACCTTGGCCATGGCCTCTCGCATACCGAGGGCACAGACGGTCAGCGCGGTCATACACTGCGGGGCGCAGCGGGAGCGCAGGCCGCTCTCCAGACTGCCGATCAGCCGCCGGTGCATGGGCATGCTCATATGTCCATGGTAGGAGGTCAGCGACACCAGGATGGGGTACACCAGCGACTGCAGGTCGGACGTCTTCACATCAGCCGGCACGTTCACCAGCCGCGAGCAGAGCGCCGGCGTGATGTCCGCCGTCAGCTGGCACATGGCCTGCGCGAAGTAGTCCACGTCAGCGCTGTGCTCGCTCACCACCAGCGCCTTGTTCTCGAGCAGTCGCGGCACGCGGCGCAGCAGCTCTGAGAGCAGCGCAAAGTCGCGCTCGTGGCGCAGCGCGCTTATCACCGTCAGACACACGCCGGCCAGGCTGACGCGCGTCTCCGACGGGCCGAGTTTGTGCGGGGCGCCATCGACCGCTGCCGGCGCCGGTCCGCCCGCCGGTGCGTCGGCGTTCCTCTGCTCGGCCAGCAGGTGCGGGCTGAACCTGACCACTCCGGTGGCCGGGTCGGGCAGGCCGATCTGCTCCCGGCAGCCCACGCAGGCTGAGCAGGGTGAGCAGCAGCGGCTCTCGGACCTCGGGCGCCGCCAGGAGCACCTCCGGGGTCGTGTAGTGCCGGCCCAGGTGATCCACCATCGCTCTGTACGCCTTCACGGCCAGTGCCGACGGCAGCGAGTCCAGGTGTATGGAGAGCAGCTCACAGAACCCCTCGGCGGCCGCCACCAGCGCGGCCACCTCCCCGGCCGCCGGCGGTCTGCCGGCCTCCAGTGGCGCGTTCAGCACCTTCTCCAGCACGGTCATCACCTCGAGACAGTGCGGAGAGCGGCAGGTACCCGCCACGCGCACCAGTAGCGACACCAGGCGGGCGCACCAGCGGGTCCGGCTCGGCGGGGAGTCCGGCGGCGGCCGCAGCAGCACCGTCTCCAGCAGCGGGCCCGCCTCCAGGCTGCGGAACCCGTCCCAGACACGCTGCAGGACCTCACACACCGCCAGACGCACCGCCGTGCGCCGCTCCCGCTCGAAATAGCGCGCCACCAGCTGACGCAGCTCCGGCAGCCACGTGTACCTGCACAAAGGTAAAGGACACGCATAAGAAGCATTCTACGCATGTAGCATTTTCTGCACATACGCGTGCGTGCCGTGCCATACCGCAAAGACGATTATTGACATAAGCCCGCTGAATGTGAAACAATAGCTTTTGCTTTAGCTGAGCTTGAGCGACAAGGCTGCAGATTCACTCAGCAGCACATCAAGGTATTATGTCCCCGCACCATCCGCAGTAGGTCGACAGTAATTGTCGGGGTTCCCTAGTTTCGTAGGCGTGTAGTCCGTCTTAGTTCTCACCCGCAGAATGAACATTATGTGGGCTGTTCTCACCTATAGGTCAGCAGCCTGTCGGCGGTGTCACGCACGGTGGCCACCACGTTGGCCTCGGGTCGGTCGGCAGCGCACAGTTCCAGCGTCTGCGCCAGCCGCGCGTCGTCGCCGCTGAACCGTCCGGCCGCCACCAGCTGCTCTATGGCGGCCAGCAGCGCGGCCAGGTGGGCGCGCACCTGCTGCGCGGCCTGCGCCAGCGGCGGCCGGCCGGACACCGCCTCCCCGTACAGGCGGTCCACCAGGTCCAGCAGGGCGTCCCAGGCGTGCGGCAGCAGCTCGCCGGCCTGAGGGCCGCTCACCAGCCGGCGCAGCTCGAGCGCCACCTCGTGCCAGACGGCCGGCTGCGGCGAGTCGAGCGCGGCGGCCAGCGCCGGCAGCAGCGCGCCCGGCCGGTGCAGCAGCGAGGCCACCCGCTCCTCGCCGCCCCACAGCGCCGTGGCGCCGAAAAACACGCAGCCCTTCAGCAGCGGCGCGTCGTTGGCGTTGGAGCGGTTCATGATGATGTCGGTCAGAACCTGAGGGCGGACGGGCGGCGACGTTGGCAAAGGAACGACACAGTTTGAGTCCAGATACGTCTAAACCACAAGTCCGCTAATTAAGCTGCCACATTGTCAACTTTATCAACAAAACAGCAGCTGTGTACAGCATTTCAGCAGTTTCCCGTCCAATGCCAACCTATAACATCTCAATTCTCACAAAACCTACCAAGCTCCCCTCCCGGCACACCCACCCACTACCATAGCCATCCCACCCCACCGAAATAGGTCAGAGCACCTCCTTCCCCTTCTCCAACCAGCCAGCTCCACCCCGCTGTCCGTCGGACCTCACCTGCAGTGTGACCGGTCCCATGCTGGTGCCCAGCAGGTTCCTCATGATGCGCCAGGCGTGTTTGGCGTGCTCTGGCCGGCAGACCAGCCTGGCCAGCAGTGCGGACAGGCGGACCAGCGCGCCGCGCGGCAGGTCCCGGTAGCACAGGATCACGTCCAGCAGGGAGAGGCACGAGGCCGTGTCCAGGCCGCCCGGCTCGGCGGCGGCGCGCTCGTACACCAGCTCCACGCAGCGACGCACGTGCTCCGGCTCCACGTAGGCGGCGTTGAATTTGACCGTGTTCTGGAGGAGGGTGAGCAGCTCGCGCTGACCGCCGCCGGCCACCGGCTGCAGCAGCGCCTCCGGCAGCAGGCGCACCAGCAGCGACGGCATCTCCTCCTCGATGTAGGTGAGGTTGCGGCCGTTCTCCGTCAGCGCGCTCAGCAGACGCACCTGAAGGGCGTTACGCACAGTGGAGTTACCAACTGGCCTACCGTGGCTCAGACAGGAGGGCAATAAGTTAAATATTTTCACAAAGTACGTGCATCATTATTAATTAAAGTAATCAGTACCTAGACATATTATTATCACAACACTGGCTTGCCATCGGTGGATAGCAAACAAATGGAGAAGAGGTGCCAATTTGTCAGGTGCAACGATATGGAAGGCCCGCGAGGTCCAGCGACTGACCCTGTGACGCTGTACCGTCCCCAGCCGCGTCTCATCCTCTACGGCACTGCCCTGTCCCCGGCGTCTCACCCTGGGCAGGAGGTCCTCAGCGACATTGTGTCTATCGACCAGTCCGAGCAGCTCCTCCTTGGCAGCCGTCATGTGCTCCAGCTGGCCGGCCACCAGTGCCGTCAGCGCGGCCAGCACCGCCTGGCGCGTGTCGCGCGCCGCCGTCGGCTCCAGAAGGTCGGCCACGTCGGCTACCAGCGACACCAGTTGCAGGTCGTCCAGCCGCTGGCGACGCACCCGCTCCACCAGATCCTGCGGCGGCCGAGCGAGGGGAGGACGGAGGGCGGGGTGTGGAAGAACACGACCATTGGACTGCCTGTTCGAGGACACACACCGGTGAATTATTAGAAGCTGTGGGTGTTCGGGCGCCGCAAATCCGCCGCCCCAGCGCACTGGCCTGGCTTTGGGGCCGCAGCAGACGGCGGAGGTCCAGATCACCCGCGCTGGGGCGGCGGATTTGCGGTGCCCGAACACCCACAGCTCCTTACAATCCTCCGCATATGATGACACATCTCGATGATAAATAATAATGTAATTGGACGCATAATGAAGTGGCGTGGCCGTCAACGCAACCCGACGACCAAATAATGAAACGAAAATAAAAAATGATCTGTCAAAGACGACTTACCAAGAGTGAAATCTCATTACGGAGCGAGCGAAGCGAGCGTAGTCTTTCCTTAGATTAACGTAAATTTCTGAGTATGAGCGGCCGGCCGGCCGGCCGGCCGTGGTCACGCTTTTGGGAGGCTTATATCTCAGCAACCACTTGACCGATTTACACGCGGTAATTTTTGTAGGGTAGCTTCATTCCTTCTACCAAGTATTGGACTATTCCCGATGCATGTGGGTGACCCCTTATGCACGTGCCACGTGCAAAACGAAGAGGTGTCAGTTTTGTAATTGTTGCAATATCTCGGTAACTACTTGGCCGATGGCGCTGAAAGTTGGCATGTAGGTAGGCACCCACTAGTCACTGCATACACATGTGCCAGAGTTGGGGTGCTGCTGCACGTGCGCACGTGCAGGGGTCGTTTCCAGATCTCGGAAACGGCTGGACCGATTGCGCTCAAATTTGGTACACGGTTAGGGACCGGTTAGTAGGGTGCCGTGCACAAGTCAGTTGGGACCCATTTTGCACGTGCGCACGTGCAGGGTGCCGCTTCCAGATCTCGAGAACGGCTGGGCCGATTGTGCCCAAATTTGGCACATCGCTAGAGACCAGTTAGTAGGGTGCCGTGCACAAGTCAGTTGGAGGTACCCCCTCGCAATTTCGCACGTGCAAGGCCCACCCTCTCGCTCGCTCCGTTAGTCGCCCCAAAAGGCGTTATACTGGTAACTTAATTAACAAAGTCTGAGATCTAAATATGCTGCAGTGCTTTTCACTGACAGCCTGAAGACAAGCGATGCTTTTACGTCTAGTCTGAATGGTTTAGAGTGGTTACGGGCCAGGGCACCTGCTTACTACGCGGCACCACAGGGCCACCACAAGACTGCTACATCGCCCGCGCCCGGTTCACCGGCAAGATCTCGAGGAGAAAGCTTCGTATTTAAATGGCGACACGGTCCTCCCGGGTCTAGCTGCTAGTGTGGCCCTCTCTGTCTCGCCAGTTGCCAGAGCTGCCGTGATTAATGACGAGTGCACACTTAAGGCCTCGAACACAATCCCACTAGATTGACGGTCAGGCACCTTATCTACCAGGAGTAGGCACAAGGGCAATTTATCGACAGTTGGTGGATAATACTGACAAATCACCACAAAAACAGCAGTCTTCAAGTAAATCGACAAACAACGTTTTTATATTGACAGCCGACCTGAATGGCCCCCACACTTTGCTCGTTCTGTACATGCAACTGACCTGCAGGGCCCGTACGCGGGTGCCCGGCTGCGAGTGTGAGCGCAGGCTCTGCTGGTCCGCGGTGTACTCGAATGGCTGGCTGAGATACTGACTGAAAGTTACACAGAACCGGTCATCATAAGGGAGCTCCAGACAGGCCAACAGGGCACCTATCACATAATTCTGCCAGCACTGGCAAAATAGTTAGTAGCAAGTACCAAGGAACTTGTAACAAGTAACCTGGGGAGGAACTAGTCAACCAGTAAAAACATATATGTTGGTTAACATTCATATCATGCATGCCCAGCACATTCCTGACACCTAATTAGCAGCTGTTTCATATACATATTACAATAAATAATTATTAGGCAGAGATAAATAAGGTGGTTTAGTGAAATCATGGGTAAAATTGCAAATTAAAAGAACAATTGTAGCATACCAGCAACATCATTAATGAAATGACATTACAAATGAAAAACGAAAGATAGGTACCTGTAATTACTCCCATCACGATTGTGCTTAAAGAACTTCTTCAGCTTATCTTGGAAATGTTTGTCCTTTTCTTTTGACATTTCTTATTCAAGAAGGTTGTGTTAGGAATGTTCAAAAATCAGAAACTGGTGGATCTCTCAGTTCTGTAAATAGGTAGGAGAAAATGGTCAAGCTTTCATCATCAGGGTATACCTTCAAGTCATGGAGTTAGGGCCAGATTGAATGACTGAACAGCTTTTGCAATTTGCAACTGCTGTAATGAAATTTAATGGCCCTACTCCATCTACTTGTTTTCTGAGGCAACTTCCAGCCCTGGTTTCAAATTGGGTTTTAGTCAAGCAGTCTTCAGAACATCTTGGAGCAGACACATGTGGGACCCTGTTTCACAGCAGGCTGCTTCCTACATGCCTGGTAGCAGCAGGTCAAGGTAGAATTGAGCTGTGAAACACAGGCTGCTACCTACATGCCTGGTAGGCGGTAGCAGCAGGTAGAATTGAGCTGTGAAACAGAGCCCTGGGACACCATAAACTTTGAAGCTTTGTTACAGACTCGACTACCTGTCATCACCCAACACCAGTCATCTAGAGTGCATCACTCTTTGTACAAGCTCAATTGTTTTGTGCTGTGACCCTTGCTGTGTGAGCAGGATCTATTACCTCTCATTTAGGCAAGTCATACAAAATAACCACTTATATAACAAAATATCAGCTAGACTCAGTCATATGTTTCACATGAGCAGTATTTTTAGCAAATCTTAATTCATTTTCAGGGATTCTGATTTCTGAAGAAGAATACAGTTTAACAATTTTTTTAATAAACCTGAACTTAGGACCCTGCACCATCACATCATACCAGAGACCCTATGCCCATTTTGATGCTCCAGCTTCTTTACACTGGCAGATCCAGAAAGGCAGTCTTGGAGATTGTGGAGTGTGGGGGTCACCAGTCATACCCCAGCTCAAGCTTTCACCAAATTCCAGAAAACACAATGGATTTTTGAATCCTTAAGTGCAGTGAAACTGTGCAGTTAAAGCAAAATTTTCCTAAAAATTCATGTAATTTTCATTTCATTCTCGAAAAACCACAAATATTTGTTGGTTTCGGAATTCGGGCATGGCATTGCGGGAGGCAGGCATTTGCCCCAAGCTCCCTTGGAATGGATCTGCTGGTGCTCCATAGTTCAATTTTTAAGCACATTGCAGGGCCATATATAGGGCACATTGTACAAGTCAAAATTGTTGGTGGTGGGAGACAAAATGAAGCTGAAATAAATGGAAAGTACTCATAAAACGAGCCAACCAGCAACAGCTAAAATTGGAATTGGAATAGGCCAAGGCCACATTTGCTTTGGTTTGAAATGGCACACAACATAAGTATTTCAATACTGTTGCATTGTAGCTTAATATTTATCTTATTTGACATTATCTGATACAGATTATTCACAAAAACTACAGATTATTCCGCACATTTCAAATAATAATTCCAATATTTATCCGACTGGACACGTTTCCTTTTTCTTCATATTTGTTGCCCTATTTTGCGCCACAAAGGTAACAATGGCGCAGCTCAAAGAGAAAGACACCACTACGAAATTATAACATTTTAAATCGCTCAAGTTCAGGAAATATCTATTACGTCCTACGCTCTTCAGTTGCCTATCAGACGTGCCTCATATCTGTAACAGAAAACATGTCAGCATAACTCATTCTTCATTACCTGGTAAGCGTCAGACAGCTGCCCGGTCTCAGCTGGCCCCGCCCTCCGCTGGGCCGGACTCCCGCTCCCTTCCCTTCCCCTCAGCGGTCACTGCCAGCCAAGCTGTCCTTGTCCAACACAAATAGGTCAGGAGTGTGGAGGTTAGCCGACCCGTTCGAGCGACTGAGCTGTCAGGCCGGTCCAGGCTTGGCAGCCTGCCACTGCAGCACGGGTGCCAACCAAGGTGAAATCAATGGGCCGAATCGAGCCAAGTGGGCGAGCGGCCGCAACCCACTAGTCATGCCCTCGGCAGAGTTTCCGCGACATTGAGGCCGATCACTTGTGGTGCACACATTTCGGTCAAGCTCTTACACCGCAAGGCGACCGCCCGAGTGTACTTCTACTCCCTTCCCCGGCCGAGTCGACCCGGCCAGCCGACAGACAGACAGACAGACAGACACAGATGGCGGGCGGTTCGGGTTGGCATCGGTCCACTCCTGTCACCAGACCCGGCTGCCGAACCGTTGAGCACTGCTGACCGCCACCCTGAGTCACCGGTCTCAGCTGAGACCCGCGGACCACCGGTCTCGGCTGGTCCGGCCCCGCGGACCACCGGTCTCGGCTGGTCCGGCCCCGTGGACCTTGATCGTCCGCAGACCGACTGCTATCAGTCACTGTCCCCTGTCACAGCGCAACAGCGCACAGCCGACCACACGATATTGCTGTCCAGCCACAGCCCGCTGATAACCGACCAGTCCGGAATTTGGCCGGGTTCATTGCGGTCGCATATCAGCTGGATAGATCCCCACAGAGTGCTGATAACCAGCCTAGTTGGCCGGGTTCACTGCGGTCACATATCGGCTGCAGAGGTCTGAAATGGCACAGGACCGTCACCGTCACCCGATCAGTAAACAAAGCCATCCGCCAATGATATACCGTCCAAACCAATAACAAAAATAGACTCGGTATGAAGTCTAGACACTGCAATGAAAACCTCGGCAGCCTCATCGGCACGTAATGGCACCACATGTCCAGATGTGATCCGAATGCACACCACTAATCTGAACTTGAATTTATTGACTCTTCCAAACCACCGACAGGTAAATTGACATGCATATTGATAATCCCGTGTACTGGGCAATTATAACGTTCGGACGATACATCCGGCCGGCGCCGACGGCCAGCTGTCCAGCCCCGGTGGGCGCTGCTCGCCGGCTCAGACTGCCGGAGGGAACTGGAGAACCTCCGGGATAGGGGGACGGGAGGGGCAGCAGCGGGGCGCCAGGAAAAGGGGAAGACGAACAGACGAGCATACCATTTGGGTACCAGCAGGGACGGCACAACCGATAGATGATTTACCGATAATAGATACAAGCGAGTAAAACATAATAGGTATCTTATAAACATCCGAGAAGAGGTTTCCCAACGACTAGCGCCAATACCACACAGCCAAACACCACCGATTTCACCAGCCGCGCGGTCACAGCGCGCCAATCACGGCGCCCCGCAGAAAAGGCGCCAATCACGCCTCAGACACCGCTCGCGCACGCACTCTCGCCCTGGAGCGCCCGTCCCTGAGGCGCGCCGCCGAACGCTCTCGGTCACGGCGCCGTCTCAGCCGCCGGAACCGCCGACGCGTGGCGTCATTCCTCGCGCGCTTCTCGGCACTCTCGCACGCACTCGCTCTCTCGGACACTAGTAGCGGGGCGGCGGGCGGCGCTGGGCGCGCGCTCCCGCCACTCCGTGGTGGCTGCTATATCGGGCAGAGCTCGCCGGACCGGGGACGGCGTTCAGGAGGCGCTGGCCGGGCCGGGGCGGCGCGGCCCAGCCGGCGGCACGCGCTCGCTCTCTCTCGGCTCGGCGCGGGCTCGGTACGGACCGGTACGGCGGGCGGGACGGCCACCGCGGCCGGCCCTAGAGCACCATCTTGCCGACGATGGTGCCGATGATAAGCGCGACGATGGCCATCACGTAGTACATGGTAGTGTCGACGGGCGCGGGCTCTGCGGAGGCGCCGCTGCCGGCGCCGGCCGCCGCCAGCTGACGGCGCAACCGGATCCCCTCCTCCTGTGGCGAGCGGAGAGCGCGCCGTCAGACACGGAGGGTCGGATACGGGACGACGAGCACCGCACCGCGGCAACACGGGGTAAAATCAAGCCGCCATCCGCGCCAGGGGCACAGCGACTGTCAGTATACAGCAGCCAAGGGTCGCTTAGAACACAATGATGCATATCGTAATATTCACATGGTGGGTACTCAGAAGTTCGTTTTAACCGAATCCATTCAAGGTAGCAGCATATGTAGATTGGCGTAGTTTCGCAACAACAAACACGTGCCTCAGTGTTCCCTCAACTTTGCAACATAGAAAAGTCATGAATAACCCGGCACCTGGCAACTACGAGTGCATCAATGTTTGCTCGTAAGTAAACACAGCACCATTAAAATCAAACCTGCGAGTCAGCATATCAACGCCGAAATCGATGGCACCGACAGAAGGTCAAGTGGACAAGTGGCCTTTAATCTGACTCAGAATCACATGAGCCTACTCGAGTGAGCCGCACAGCTGTGCGCCTGGCAGCGGGCGGACCCCGCACGGTCGCCGGGCCGGCGGCGAGCGTCCCACCCCGTGACGCTACACCCACCTTGAGCTGGAGGTTTTCGTTGCGCGCATTGCTCATCTCCTCTCTGAGACGCCGCACCTCATCAGCTGCCATCTTCATATCCTTGGGCTCCGGCTGACCGGGCGGGGAAATGGCGTCAGCGTGGGCACAACCTGGTTTAGCTAGGCACATCATAAATGAGAGAAGATAGGCACACTCTGGGCCACAGGACTGGTGTAGAAAATTCAGCAAACACATGGACGATGTACTTTACAGGCGTGGCGA